GGGCCCGCCGACAGGCCCAAAAATTCCTTGTTACTGGTGGGTTGGTGTGTATTTGTTTGTTTTATGCTTCGTTGTGGGGGGGAAAGCCTTTACTATCCCCACTCCCCGGCATCCCGGCCTCGGCGACCACCTGGGGCCCCTCAGCGGCCTCCTGAGGTCGCAGGCCTGAGGTTCCGCCAGGCCTTATCGCCAGAGGTCTCTTGGGGAACCCTGAGGTAAGATTGTGCGAGACCCCATGGTGCCCAACCGGGACATCCCCTTCATAGAACTCTCGCGCCCCAGTCTTTTTCTTTTCGGCACCCAGCGTGTTCGGAATCGCGTCGCGCTTGTGGATCGGTGTCCTCAGTTTGCGTCGTCATTCGCATCATGCTAGTGGGGCCCTTCAGTCGTATAAACTCATTGCTTGAGCCACGCCTGAGCCAAGCTTGAGCAGCATCCCCCACCCCCAGTCCGAGGCGGGTGGTTGGATTAATCGATGTCTTTATCGCTACTCGGCTCGCAGGAGGTGCCACCGCTGCGCCCCTCGGCCCCGTCTCGGGAAGGCCTCTTGGGGAACCCCGAGGTGAGACGGTGTAAGGTCCCACGCTGCCCAGCTGGGCCATCCCCTGTCCCCACCGCACGCCGAGGCGATGATGCGGGGCACAGGGAAACGGACAACTGAGGACCCCCCCAGGGAAACGGACAACTGGGGAACCGACTCGTCCTCAATGACTCGCCAAGCTCATCGTCCCCGAAACCCGAAGGGGTTTTGAAGGTCGGAGATGCCCCTCGCCGTGAGCCTTCTGGGGGTCGCACCCGATACGAAACTCTCGAAGTTCGTATCCTCCCAGTCTTGGGCAGAGGGCCTACGTGAGGCGCGCCGGCCTCAGCAGGTATGGTCCCAGGATGCGTTCTGGGCCAGCTTGTTCACTCCGCCGCATCGTCCATGCCAGCAGGAGGTGAGGAAAACATCGCCTCTCAGATGGTTATGCGGCCGCGGGTCGAATCGTATTCTTCGGCGCGCGATCCCCTTGCCTGCCGTCGCGTCGCGCTGTGTAACCGTAGGGGTACGCAGCTCAGAGGTGGCGTGAGGACACGTTGGCCACATATTATCTCAGCCACCTACTCCCTTGTTGCACCCTGCCGCACGCGCACGCACTGGCATACAGCGCTGTTTACTCTGAGTCTCATTACCTTGGCGTCTTCACTCCGCCGCATCGTCCATGCCGGCAGGAGGTGAGGTAACCATTGCCTCTCAGCTTGCCGTCGCGTCGCGTCGTGTAACCGTTGGGGTACGCAGCACAATGGTGGCGTGGGTTGACGTTGTCCACTTATTATATCAGCCACCTACTCCCTTGTTGCATCCCGCCGCACGCGCACGCACTGGCATTCAGCGCTGTATACTCTGAGCCTCATTACCTTGGCGGCCTCGCTCCGCCGCATCGTCCATGCAGTCAGGAGGTGTGGAATCCATCACCCCTCATTCACACTCACCTCCAGCGTGTGCTGATACGCTCCGATTGCTCTGGCGCACAAGCCGAGTAAGGACGAGCCACGGTCTTCACAACGGAGGTTGCCGATGAAAGGTATGCTACCTCTCATACCGTGTGCCTACCACGGTCCTTGTACCTGGGGGCACGGTAACAAGGGTGGGTGAGCCCCAGAGCCCCATCCGTCCTCACAGGGTTATGCCTACCCTCAAGGGCATCAGCAATACACTACAGTCCTCCTCCTCCTCCTCAACCTCCTCAACCTCCTTCCCCCTCCTCCTCCTCCTCCCCCTCCTCCTCCTCCTCCTCCTTCCTCCTCCTCCTCCTCCTGCCCCTCCTCTTCCTCCCTTCTCCCTCTGGTCTTCCTCCCTCCTCCACCTCCTCCTCCTCCTCCTCCCCTCCTCCTCCCCCCCTCCTACTTCTCCTCCTCCTCCTCCCCTTCACTTCCCCTCCTCCCCCGCCCCTTCCCCCTCTCCTCCCTCATTATCCTCTCCCTCCTCCACCTCTCCTCCACCCTCCCTCCTGCTCTCCTCCTCCTTCTCCTCCTCCTCCCCCTCCTCCTCCATCTTCTCCGCCTCCTCCTCCTTCTCCTCATCCTCCTCCTCCTCCTTTTCCTCCCTCTCCTCCTCCTCCTCCTCCTCCTCCACCTCCTCACCCCTCCTCCTCTTGCCCCTTCTCCTTCTCCTCCTCCTCCTCCTCCTTCTCCTCCCTCCTCCTCCCCTTCTCCTCCGTTATTCTCCCTCCCTTCGCCCCTCCCTCCCCCAATATCCTCCATCTCTCGATCTTGCCCGTCGCCATCTGGGTTGAGACCCTCGGCAAGCGGATGCATGATATGACGGCATTTGGGGAGGAGATTGCATCTCCATGTTGGAGTTCCGCCCAGCATGTAAGGTGATGGTGTTGAGATGCGGAAATTGAGAGATCTGTTCTGCACTACGGGACGTTTGGAATCAGCAAGTTGGGGAAACAGCAGTGAGTTGTTCCAACTCCGCCAGCAGGTGAGGGTGTCCATTCGTCGACCGCCTGCGGATTTAGACTTGATGGTTACCATTGGGGCAGTCACGAGTTCTTCGAATCCAAATGCAATGGAGTTCATCCCCATGCCCCGTAGCATTTGTTTGGTAAGTTCAGGCGAGATTTGCACTGTGAGTTTGGGTGGTCAAGCCTCCAATATAAAGTCGGCCACAGGTCCTGGGCACCAGCTCTGTTAGTAGTATCGGGCTAAGTTCAAGCACATGGATAGACACAGTTCGCCGTCTGTTGGTGGTAAGTGGAAACCTGTCCCAAGCAGCATCGGACAACATGTTGGCGCGGACAGCGCATGTACTCAGATCTCCCGCGGTAAATGGGAGTCGCTGACTTTCCTGATTACTTGGCTTCACGTTCGTCGCGCTAGCCCCCGAGAAGGAGGTTCCGAGCATGACGCGCCGATGAGTAGCGCCGATCGTTTTCGTGATGCGGATCGGCCTCCCGACCGCGTGGACGGGCTCATTTGTGCAATGTCCGACTGATCAATGCCAATACCCACTTGCGGGCCGATTGGAAGATGATTGCTGTAATGATGCAGCAGCAGCTCGATCGAGGTTGTGAGGAAGCGCCTCGTTGGAGGAAACCAGCCATTGCGTGGAAGAAATGTATGCGGAGCACCTGGTGCCGCTCTATAGACCAAGGGGGCCGACAACGTCTTCGAATTCTGCAACAGGACTGAGCCAATCTGTTATAGCTTCCAGCGGTTCCGCTTGGCCTTCTTTCTGGAGGATTTGGTTGGTGAGATGGTGTGGTTCCCATACACTCGCAGTTTCCTTCATAGCCTTGTTCTGCATGCCTGGATGCGCCGTGTCAGAGGTCTGAGCGTTGTGTGATGGTTTCACTTTTCTGGGGTCCACCATGTGGCAGGGATAGGCATCTTGTGAGTCATGCGACCACGCAGGGTGGCATCCACGTAACTCAGGCCATCGAACTGTGACTGCCCTCTCTGGCTCTTCCCCTTCCCCGCCCCCTGGCCCTCTTCTTGTCTCGCGTTCGTTTCCCCTTCGGCTTTTCGCTTTCGGCTCCCCGCTCGCCAGGTCCCGACAGCGCCCTTGCTGTCCAGAATGTTCATCGCAGGCCTGGCTTAGCATCGGTCGTCTGCAGAATCATCGAGCATTGCCCTGCAGGGGTTATTCCCCAACTCTCCGAGATGCAGTGCCCAACCAACCATTATCATCACCATCATCATTATCAGCAGCAACAGCAACAGCAACAGCATCATCATCATCATCATCATCATCATCATCATCATCATCATCATCATCATCATCATCATCATCATAATCATAATCAGAATCATCAGCATCAGCATCAGCATCAGCATCAGCATCAGCATCAGCATCACCATCATGCTGGTTGTCCGCCACCTCCTCCAATCTACACAGCTCCCCTTTTCTGCCTGCAGGGGTTATTCCCCAACTCTTCGAGATGCAGTGCCCAACCAACAATCACCATCATACCGTTTATCTGCCAACTCCTCCAGTCTACACAGCTCCCCTTTTCTGATTGCCCACAACACAATGGTGTCCTTTTGGGGGTTCCAGGTCTGCCGTGGCACCCGTCGGCAGATATAGAAACAAACGCAACAATGGGAAAGGATGGGAGCGAGTGGGGGGTAGGATGTCAGGAATGGCGCGAGCACGCCTCGCTTTCCCCCTCCCCCCCTCCCTCCTCTCTCCCGCCACCCCTCTTCCCTCCTCATCCTCCGCCCCCCCACCTGGCACCCTTTGCCCCCCCTCCTCTCCCTCTCGCCCTTCCCCTCCTCCCCCTTCTCCCCCCGCCCCCCTCCCCCCCCCTCCCATCGGAAGATGAGGACACAGAGCAGACCACCGATCGATCCATGACCGGCCGACGATGCGGGCCTCTGTTGGCGCGTGTCCTTCGACTACACGTAAGAGTGACCCTTCGCCGGAGTGATCTTTGGCGCGGGCTCATCGGGGCCCCCCCGATCGCTGAGCGCGATGCGATAGCAGCGGCCTGCGCGCTTGGGTTTGACCCCCCCGCGCCCCCCACAAAGCCGCGCACCAAAGGTCACTCTTACCCGGGGTCACTCTTGCGTGTAGCCGAGTCCTTCCCTGGGGAAGGCGAGGGCACAGGGCAGCCAACCGCGTCGCCGTCGCGCGGCCCTCCGCGCGGCCCCTCGCCGCCGCCCGCCGCGGCGACCTGGCGATGGGGCGCCCGTGGTGCTCGCCCGCCGCCGCTCGATCGACCGAGGGCCTCCTCCTCCACCTCCATCCTGCTCCTCCATCATCCTCCATCCTCCTCCTCCTCCTCCTCCCCTCCTCCTCCTCCTCCTCCTCCTCCTCCCTCCTCCTCCATCTCCTCCTCCTCCTTTCCCTCCTCCTCCTCCACCTCCTCCTCCTCCTCCTCCATCCTCCTCCTCCTCCCTCCTCATCCTCCTCCTCCTCCTCCTCCTCCTCCTCCATCCTCTCCTCCTCCTCCTCCTCCTCCTCCTCCTCCTCCTCCTCCTCCTCCTCCTCCCCATCCTCGCCCGCTGCCCGCAGGCGGCGGCGCAGGAGCTGACCCTGGCCGAGGCGGCGGCCCAGTCGGCCGCCCCGGCGCGCCGCCGGGCCGCACCAGCCAGGAGGGTGGCGGCGGTGGCGTCCGCGCCCCGAAGGCGCCCGCGTGCGAGGGGTCGGAGGAGGAGTGGGAGGAAGCAGTAGGAGGAGGAGGAGGCAGTAGGAGGGAGGGAGGAGCTGGAGGAGGAGGAGGAGGAGGAGGAGGAGGAGGAGGAGGAGGAGGAGGAGGGAGGAGCAGGAGGAGGCAGGAGGAGGCAGGAGGAGGTAGGAGGAGGCGGGAGGAGGAGGAGGAGGATGAGGAGGAGGAGGAGGAGGAGGAGGAGGAGGAGGAGGAGGAGGAGGATGGAGGTGCAGGACGAGAAGGAGGATGGAGGAGGAGGAGGAGGAGGAGGAGGAGGAGGAGGAGGAGGAGGAGGCATGAGACTGCTGCTGGGCGTGGGGGAGCTGTACATGTTCTTCTACGCGGTCTCGGCGAGGTTCAGAGGGCGCGGTACGTTCTGACCTCTCGGCTGTCTCAAGATGAAGGTGTAAAAAGGAGGAGGCAGGACGAGGAGGAGCAGGATGGAGATAGGGGAGCAGGAGAAGGAGGCAAGAGGCAGGCGGCAGGGTGGGAGGAGCCAGGAGGGACGAGGAGGAGGGATGACTTGCGAAGGGGAGGGCGTCTTGGGGTCACTTTGCCCGCGTGTCGAGCTGATTCGGCCCGCTGTCGTTCACCCAGATGCCGCGATGAGCTACGGCAAGAGAAAAGCCCATCACGCTGCTCTCCGCGAGCCTTGGTCCTTCTTGGTGCTGCCCTTGACCTCGTGGGTCAGCCCATGTCTGGACCGCGAGATGTCCCGTGCGACACGGTGCCATGTGGGCCCCACGAGCGCACTGTTCTTGTCGAGCAGCACCACGCGGCGCACGCGTTCGCTGAACGGGCACCATCCTGTCGATGGAAGCCATGCGGGCCACGCGCACGCGAATCAGGTACCATCACTCTCTAAGGGCATTGTGCGACCACGTGCACGCCAATCCAGATGAACTCCACTATCCACATGTACGCGCTTATTCATAATAAGTCACGGCTTATCGTTTGGACGGGCTAGAACGCTTTACGTGCGCATGCGCGTGGCGACGCGCCCGCGCCTGGCGGAAGGCAAAACAAGAACAACACATAAAGGAATAGTGTGTGATTGAGGGCCAAATGTGGAGCGGGGCTGATCGCTTGCAGCAGCCATGTCAACAGTACGCTTACCCAGGATGCTGCCAATACCTGGGACTGATATTCCATCCAGGGCCTTACTTTCAGGCACCCTGACAGTTGCGCGAACCCCAATCCTCAGCGTGGCGGCTCTGCCCCTGGCTCCATTCTTTCTTGTACTCTAAAGACGGACCTTATCCTGCTCCTCTGCCATCTCTCTATTCTCCGCTTGCCCTTACGCTGACATTGTTATCACGCTTACCATTGCGCTGATATTGTCCAGCATGACGTTAGCGCTTGCTATGTTTGCCTGCTCCCGCTCCCTTTATCGATACTCTTTCGCTTGAGGTCGTTGCCTTTTCGCTTGAGGTCATGCGTTCGCGTTCGCTCACGCTGAAGCTCGACTTCGCACTAAACCCGTATTCCGTAACCTGCATCCTCACATTCAATTTAACCGTCAACCCCACCCCTACCATTGCCCATGGAGCCAGTCATTGCAATAGTGGCATCTGGCATCACCTCTGCGACTACCCTTGCCTTTTGCCATGTCTCTCTCTCTCTCTTGCTCTCTTTCGCTTTCTCTCGCTCTCTCGTTCTCTCCCTCTCTCTCCGCCCTCTCCTTTGTCATCTCCCTCATGGTCCTCTCTCTCTCTCTCTCTTTAACTCCCCCTTCCCTCCCTCTTCGCCCTCACCCTCCCCTGTATCCCTCCTGCTCCTCGGGGGCCCTCCCGCTTGCCATGCCCTCACCTCATATCCCCGACACCGCCCTCCGCCGTGCTGCCCTTGCCGTTGCCTCGCCCCCGTTGCCCTCAAGATGACCCTCGCGTGCCCCTCCCTCCCTCTCCCTGCCTCCCACGGCCCCCTCTCGCAGGGACAAGCGCGCCTCGCTGGCCATGATGAACCCGGAGAGCGCGGAGGCGCTCGGCGCGCAGAAGATCGCGCTCGGCGCGCGGTATGTGGAAGAGGCCGGGCCCGCCACGCATGTGCGGGCAGGGGGGGGGGGGGGGGGGGGGGAAGTAGGAGAGCAAGGGGAGGACGAAGAGGAGCAGGAGCAGGAGAGGAGGAGGAGGAGGAGGAGGAGGAGGAGGAGGAGGAGGAGGAGAAGCAGGAGAGGAGGAAGAGGAAGAGGAGCAGGAGGAGGAGGAGGAGGAGGAGGAGGGTGCGAAGGTGGACAGGTGCCGGAGAAACAGCAGCAGGGATGAGGAGGAGGAGGATGAGCAGCAGGAGCAGATGGAACGTGGCCAGCTGCGGAGAAACTCAACATGCAATCACAACACAAAAGGTGTGTTCGTCTCGGAAACGATAACGATATGTGCGCCTCCAACTATCAGTGGGAATTCCCGAAGAAGGTGCGCGCTTAAATGCAATAGTTTCCATTGCATGTCACAATTCAGTTGCCAGCTGCGTATTGTAAATAGCTTGCTGGGCTTTTTTTCGCCATCCAGTTAAACAGACGTCAAGGCAGAGATAACCCAAGCTACAGACCCAAAGATGCCCCCCCGCTCCCCTCTGCTCCCTCGTGTCTTCCTCCCTCCTCGTCCATTTCTCCCCTTCCTCCGTCCCTCTCTCCCTCTCGTCCTCCCCCCCTCTCTCCCCTCCCCTGCATGCGGAAGCCGTTCAGCTGTTCCTCTGGTTCGCGCGCTTCGTGTTCCTTGTCGCCCTGTGCCCCTTCTCTCTTTCGATCTCACCACGTGATGGCCGAACCACTCGGGTCCCATCCCTCCCGCCCCTCCCCCTCCCCCCCCCCTCCTCGCCTCCTTCCTGCCGCTGCCCCTCCCCCGCCGCCCCTCCTCGCCTCCTTCCTGCATGCGGAAGTCGTCCACCCCCCCCCGCCGCCCCTCCCCGCCTCCTTCCTGCCGCTGCCCCTCCCCCTCTTCTCGCCTGCTTCCAGCGAGGGAGGCGCGGCGGGCAGGGAGGGAGGCGTCGGAACGGCCCCGACCCCTTCCCTGCTCGGCCGGCCTCCCCCTGCATGCCGACCCCGCGCGCGCCGGCCGGCCGCCGTCAGCCGCTTCCGTCGTCCTCGTCGTCGTCGTCTTCGTCGTCGTCGTCGTCGTCGTCGTCGTCGTCGTCGTCGTCGTCGTCGTCGTCGGCGGCCTCGTCGTCGGCCTCGTCGTCGTCGTCGTCGTCGTCGTCGTCGGCGGCGGCGTCGTCGTCGTCGTCGTCGTCGTCGTCGTCGTCGTCGTCGGCGCGCCGCTGCCCGCCAGGCGGGCGGCTCCAGCTCGGCGCCCCGGGGGCGGCGCCAGGCCCTCAAGGCCCAGGCGGAAGAGGCCGAGGAGCCTGGCCGCGGCGGGCGGGCGGCCCGGGCCGCCGGGGGAGCCGGCGGCGGGCGCGGCATCCCCGCGGCCCAGCCGTGTGGGGGGGGAAACAAGGGGCGGGGGGTGAGAGGAAGGGAGGAGGGAGGGAGGGGAGGGAGTAGGGAGGGGGAGAGGAAGGAGGGGGGGAGGGGGAGAGGGAGGGAGGAGCGGGGGAGAGGAAGGAGGAAGGGGAGGCAGAAGAGAGGGGGAGGGGGGGGGAGGGGGAGGGCGAGGGGGAGGAGGAGGAGGAGGAGGAGGAGGAGGAGGAGGAGGAGGAGGAGGAGGAGGAGGAGGGGAGGAGGAGGAGGAGGCGGAGGCGGAGGCGGAGGAGGAGGAGGAGGACGACGACGAAGGGGCAGAAGGACCAGTGCAAGGCCTACACGCATCAGCGAGGTTGCAATGAATCCTCCCTATAAGATTCCTCTCCACAGGTCCCTATGAGGATGTGTTTGCATGGCGGGAAGTGCCCCAGTGTTGCGCCAGTCCCATCCGAAGCCGTGCCAGAGCACCTCTCCTGGGACTTCAACACTGCGAATCATCGTGGCTGTTGCGTCCTGGCAATCCTAAATCCTGCCAGAACACGATTCCTGAGACATACGCAATGCGAATCCTTGAAACTTTTAAAACGCTTGAGCTGATTGCACGCGGCGCTAAGGCGAGAGTCACGTTTTAAAAATGAGCTCAATCCTTAAAACTGTACGTCGCAAATATTATAGACGAATGCGCACGGCGTCGAGACAAAAAACACAGTTTGGAAACCACCCGCCCTACTTGTTTGAACGTTTCAGAACTTGTTAGAGGAATGCGCGTGGTGCTAAGGCGAGAGTTACATTCTGAAAACCGCCCGCTCTCCATCCTTGAGACTGTTGCGAAGTTCAAGTTGCAGGGTCACAGATGAGGAGGATGTCTCAAGCGAAACGCCCAGCCCGCCCTACTGACACGTCGGGAGGCGCGACAGAGAGGAGTTAGTCATTAGAAAAGGGATGGAGGAGGAGGAGGAGGAGGAGGAGGAGGAGGAGGAGGAGGGAGGAGGAGGGAGGGAGGAGTGAGGAGGGCTGAGGAGGAAGAGGAGGAAGATGAGGAGGAGCAGGAGCGAGCGAGGAGGAAAGAGGAGGAGCACGGCCCAGGAGAGCCAGGTAGGGGAAAGGGGAAAGGGGAGAAGGGTGACGGCGCCAGGTGCCAGTCCCAGGGCCGCCCTCGAGCGCCACGCGGGCCCTCACATGCAGTGGGCGTCGTCGCACCGCCTCGCGCCCCTCCTCCGTCAGGGGCAGAGGGGGCCAGGGGCCTGCCAGTGGCCACTGGCCAGCGACCGTCACCGAGCGGCAGTGCGAGCGCGCCGCCCTGCGCGGCCCACCCCGGGCGGAGGAGGCGCCGGGAGCACAGGGAAGAGGGCGCCCAGGCTGGCAGCAGCAGTTGCGGGGCCAGCACCAGGGTGCTCTCCGCGCGTGGCGGCGGCGGGGCCCAGAGGCTACGGGATGTGCAGCAGTTTAGATGCTGTATACATCCTGCTGAAGACAGGATGCACAGCATTTCAAAGGATGCAGGATGCACGGCAGGAGTTGGCCCTCGTCTTCAAATTGAAGACGAGGGCTAGCTCCTGCTGTTGCTGACGCTGCCCTCCCTCTCCGCCTTCTCATCATCCTCTTCCCCCGTCCTTGGCCTTTCGCCGCTGTGGGAACAGCCAGACGAGAGGTGGAAGCGCGTTCCCCAGCACACGAATATGGTGCCAGCGTGGTCATGCAGGAAGCGCACAGATCTGGGCTGCCAGCTCCACATCATGCTTCACCTTCACCTTGTTTGCGTTGCGCAAACATTGGCGGGATGGCCGTTGCGTCTTGGTCCTTCTCTTGGTCCGTTCTCCTCCTCGGCTTCCTCGTCGTCATCGTATATTCCTTCTCCACCCCCAGCAGAAATCGTCGTGATTGTAGTGCACCGACTGACAGGGGAAGCGCGTTGACAGTGATTTAGACGAGACCCAGGCTAGCCACCACCACGGCGGGGCAGGAGAGAGAGAGAGAGAGAGAGGGATGCCAGCCTCCGTTGCTGCGCGATTCCGATGCACGTGAGCCGCGGCTGCAGCACACCGACGGGCAGTACGAGAGCGCCTGCGGCGGCGTTTTCACGAGTGCAATGTTCTCCGTCAGCGTGGCGAGGCCGCCATATGGCATGGAGCGGCAGTTCCTGTACCGGTAGCCGTTGGTGGACCGCCCTCGCCCCTTCGTCTCTCTCTCCTCTTCGTCCTTCTCGTCCTCCTTCCCGTCCCTGTGCACACGATATGAGCTAACAGGAGGGAGGAAGGGAGGCAAGGAGTGGGCGAAGGAGCTGTGACTGATATGGCATCCTTCAGTCCTTCCCCTACCTCCATCCTGCTCGTTTCCATCCTCGTCCTCCCCCTCATCCTTCCTCGATCGAATGTTTTACGCCTGCGTGCCAGGGGGGTGCATTTTCCGCCTTTTCCTCCCCCCTGTACCTCGCTGCCTTTGTCTAGTTCTCCTCCCCGTATTCCCTCCCCTCCCCCTTGCCTCCCCCATGTCCCTCGATCGCTGGCTCCCTCGTTCGTGTCCTGTTCCGCCCTTACTTCCCAGCTCCCCAGCCCTTCCCTCGCTTCCATTTCCCCTCCCTCCTTTCCCCTCCCTCCTCTCGCCTCTCGTCCTCCCTGCTTCCCTCCACTTCCCCTCCCTCCTCTCGCCTCTCCCTGCTTCCCATCCCTCCACTTCCCCTCCCTCCTCTCGCCTCTCCCTGCCTCCCCTCCCTCCACTTCCCCTCCCTCCTCTCGCCTCTCGCCCCCCCCTGCTTCCACCTCCCTGCTCCCCCTTGCCCCCCCCCACATCCATCTGTCCGTCCCTGCTCTTGACCCTCCATGCCTCCCCCCGCCTCGGTCCGTCCCATCCTCCCCCCTCCCCTCCCTCCCCTCCTCCCCCTGCCTCCCTCTCCCTCCCCTGCCTCCCCTCCCTCCCCTGCCTCGCCCCCCCGCCCCCCCCTCCAAAACGAAAAAACGCGGAGGACGAGAATCACGAGGAGGACGTGGAGGTGTCGTGGGTCAACGACGACGCCGATGACGAGCCAGTTGACCGCGCGGGGCTGCTGCACGAAATCCACGCGGCGCACCACAGGCGGGCATGACAAGGAGGAGAAGGGGGACCGGGGAGAGGAGGAGGAGGAGGAAAAGAAGGATGAGAAGGAGGTGGTTTCAGGTGCATTTGTGGGGGCAGCATGGGCCGGTGCTGAACGCGTCTCTCGTTCTCTCCCGAGGTCGTCGTCGTGGGGTGGCGGGGGGCGAGCCGCCGCCCCGCAAGAAGCAGCCGCGTCAGGTGCGGGTGGCGACGGAGGCCGAGCACGTGCCTGTGTCCACATGGGAGTGACGGCCCGTCGCGCGGAGGTGCGCTGGTAGAGGTGGTGCCTCCAAGTTCGTCGCAGCCTTGCCCCTGCGCTTCGCGCCCAGCGTGGCCCGCCGGAGCCCGACACTCGCGCCAGCGTCCGCCGGCGCCGCCGATTGAGAGATCGCCGCGGCGGGAGCGGGTGGGACTCTCGACCGAGGGCGCTGCAGCGGAAGTGAGGCAGTGATTGGTCTCGTGGCCGTGGGCGCGAACGCATCCCTCCGCACTCCCGTCCTCCCCCCGTCCGCCGCCCACGCCGCCGTTCCCGAGGCCCCCGCCGTCGTCGCTGCCAGCACTTCCAGCGAGCACGGAGTCGAGAGGGGCGGGAGGCCGTGGGGTCTCTGGCTGGGGCAGTTGACGCTCTGTCTCCACGCGCTGGCCTCGTTTTTTTTCTCTGCTCCTCCTGCTCCACCCTGCCTCCCTGCAAGTGGGGTCTCCTGGTCGTTCCGTCGGACGCGTCGGCAGGGCAGGCCCAGCGGCACGCTTTAGATCCCATCCGGCCCTGAAGCTCGAGTTTTCTAACGGATACATGGACCGATAGCAGGTGATCTAAACAAGACGAAAAACATACAAACAATTATACTAAAAAACAAAACGACCATATGGTTATCGCGGCATCGCCGCGCACCACCGTATGCTAAAGTCCCAGCAGCGATAATCATGGAGTCGAAGCGTTTTCGAAGCCTGGCTCTCGCCTCGCCGACGTGCACACCCGTTTTTTTGCATTCAACAGGATGGAAGGCAAGTCCTTCTCAATATTTTTTCTGGATAGCCAGAAGTGATCATGCTTGCCAGAGTGAGCCCAAACAGTGGGTTCTCGCACGCTCGATATGCAATCGCAGTGACACATTCCGTGGATGGTGCAACTCATGTGTTGCAAGCTGTGTGGATTAAGCGTGTTCAGTGTGTAAGCATGCCTCAATGTATAAACATACGCGCGTGTGATGTGCAGAGTATGTGGTGCAAAGTATGCGGCGCCGTGTAGGAAATTCCGTGCCGGTTCTGCAAGCTGCGTGCTGAAAACAACGCGTTGCAAGCTATGTGGCCCAATGTACGCGGCACAGCTTACGGCTTGCAAGTCAGTTGAAGCATTTGAAGCCGTCGATCCCAACGATCGAGCAAACATCCCGCCCACCAGTCCGCAATTGTTTGCCATTTTTAGGAGGTCGTGCCAGAAGCGTCTTGTCGGAATGTGCTAGCAGGTCGCACCCACGCGTGGGCTTTCCCCAGGCAGATCCATCCATGGCTCGTGCGGGCGTATGCTGATGATCCTGGCTGGAAGTGAAACAACGGTTGTTTAAAGCCATTGGTTGCATGTGTGTTCTTGAAGGGCGTCACCTTGGGGATATTTCAAGTGCTATTAATTTCTGCATGATTCATTGGCTTACGCCGCACCGCCGACCTCTTAGGGCGGCAGCCATAGTGAAAGACCGAGTTCGCGGAACGCGCGCGATCGGTGGGCAATCTTGGGGTTTCGGCCTGTCCTACGTAGCGTGTGGGGTTCAAGGGGGGGCCTTGTAGGGGATTGTTTTGAAGTTTTTCGTGGTCTTGTGTGGGTTTCTTGGGGCCTTCGCGGGGCTTGTCCCAGGCCTCCTTTATCACTCCCTGGATAGGCCGGAGGATCGTTGAGACCCGGCTAGGGGTGCGTCCGGCCAGAAGTTCGAGAGTAGACCCAGTTGTGTCGACGAGGAGCTTCCTGAAGGCCCAGAGGGGTCGGAGAGCGCCCAAGAACTAGGAGTCTCATGCCTTGAGCCTCGATCCACCCCGTGTTCCTTCCTTGCGAAGGGGTGGCACCGGCCAGGGAGGTCGATCCTCATCCCGGACCCTCGGTGGTGGTCCCGGGTTCCGAAAACGGTTCCTGGAGGCAGAATTCGAGGAGATGCTTCGGGTGGTCGAAAAAACAACGAAAATCTGCGAGACATCGGCGGCGACGACGAAATCTTTATTTTGTTCCTCTTCCTCCTCCTCTTCCTCCTCCTCGTCCTTCTCTTCCTCTTGTCGAGCGAGGTAGATGCCCGCGGCAGTTCCGGCCGCCTTGTCAAAGATTTGTTTTTGAATTGTTTTTGTTTTTGATTGGTTTCGGTCTCCGGGGGCCTTCGCTGGGCCCCAGGACTTTCAAAACCGCACGGACATGGGGCGAGAAATTGCATCGGCGGACCCGGGCAGGGGCTCGGGGAACGAATTTGATTGGAGTAGCCCGTCGGACTCGGGAGGTTTGTTGTGGCTGGGGGGTTCCAGGCCCCTCCCCTGTCGCCGCGGCTGGGTGCGTTTGGGAAAACGATTGCGATTGGATTCCAGGAAGGGTCCGGGGGGTCCGTGCACGGTGAACGATTTCTGCGTGGGGGAAAGAGAAGAATTTTGCTGCAGAGGCTTAGTCATTCCGTTTTTTTTTTTGTTTTCGTCGTCGAAGGGCCGCCTCTTGGTCCCGGGGTCATGAGGGGGCATTGTGGATCCCCGTCAGGGCCTCTTGGGTGCATTCAGGCGCCCTTTCACATTTCCCAGCCATCCTGTGGTGTTGGGCCCTCGTTTTGAAGAGACAGCGCCCCGCGTCACCTCCTCCTCCTCGCTCCTCCTCCTCCCGCTGCCCACTCCCTCCCCCTCTCATCATCATCATCATCAGCATCATCATCGTCATCATCATCATCATCACCATCACCATCACCATCACATCATCATCATCATCATCATCATCATCATCATCATCATCATCATCATCATCACCATCACCATCACCATCACCATCACCATCACCATCACCATCACCATTACCATCACCATCATTAATCATAATCATCATTGTCATCGTCATCCTCATCATCATCATCATCATCATCATCACCATCATCATCATCATCATCATCATCATTTTACGAGTCCGTGCCATCCATTTCGGCACGCCCATCACATGGTTCGTGGCCCCATAGGGAACCCCACCGGAGGCCCCAGTGACACAGGTTGCATGCGGGGGCCGCCACCCATGTCGGCACACCCCTCACGCAGTTCGTGGCCCCACAGGGAGCTCCACCGAAGGCCCCAATGGCACAGGTTGCATGCGGGGGCCGCCACCTATTTCGGCACACCCCTCACACGGTTCGTGGCCCCACAGGGAGCTCAAACGAAGGCCCCAGTGGCACAGGTTGCATGCAGAGACCGCCACCAATTTCGGCACACCCCTCACACGGTTCGTGACCCCACAGGGAGGTCCATTGAAGGCCCCAGTGGCACAGGTTGCTTGCGGGGACCACCACTCATTTCGGCACACCCCTCACACGGTTCGTGGCCCCACAGGGAGCTCCACCGAAGGCCGCAGTGGCACAGGTTGTATGCGGGGACCGCCATCCCCATTTCGGCACACCCCTCACGCGGTTCGTGGCCCCACAGGGAGCTCCACTGAAGGCCCCAGTGGCGCAAGCCGCATGCGCCCGACGCCCATTTTGGCACACCAGAGCTCCACCGAAAGCGGTGCCCACAACGCGGTGCTCGCAGCTGCATGGGCCATATGTTTGGGTCCTTCGCCAGGCGAATTTATTGGGGCGAAGTGCTCGAATTCTCCATTCGGGTTTCCCTCTTTACTCTCCTCTTGGGGCCGTCCTAGGGCTCTCCCTGGTGGCTTCGGGGGCCCTGTTGGGTCCCGCTTGTGCCGTCCGGGAGCCTTCTTGGGGGCGTGCGGGGCTTTCGGGTTGATTTTTTTTTTGGGGGGGGGGCTGCTGTGGGACTCGTGAGAGCTCAAGAAGCGAACGCATTCAACTTAAACGTTTCCCTTCGGTAAGGAGCCGAGGTTTGGTTTTGCGGGGTCTCTTGGCGCGCGTCCTGGTGGCGCGTTGGGGTGTCTAGGGGACCTCACGGGTCAGCTGTGAGCCGCGCGACAGGCCTAGAAGCGAAAGTGCTAAACTTGGGCGTTTCCCTTAGGGAACAGGCCGAGGTTTGCTTCTGGGATTCTAAAGCGAGCTGAGGGACGTAAGGAGTGGAAGCGAGCGTGCGCCCGCGGCCGCGTCAGCTCAAGCGGCCAGCCGCCCAAATATGACGGTGCCTCACTGCGAGGCACACAATCGCTATCGAGACCAACAGGATCTTCCTACTGCTTGAGATGGCACATTCTCCCATAGTGGGACTATCGCTACTACGGTACAACAGAGCGGGAGCTTGGCTTTGTTTGAGGCGAAGCTGCTGGCTGGGCCTACCAGCCCCCTCCAGATTTGGTAACGGAGCTGGCCTATGATGGTCAGCTCTTGCTCTACTCCTCACCATCCACGGCACTATCTGGTGGACTACTCAACCTTGGATTGTGTAAGTTTTTAAGGGGCAGGAGGGAGGGGCCACTTTGGGTCGGCGGAAGTGGTGTGGCCCCTGTGGGGGGGGGGGTTAGAGGGGGGTGCATAATATTGTAACACAATACAATATGTAGCAATTGCGCAATCATTGGATACATTGGATACGTTGCATTCTAGCCTCCGCGGACCTGCCTCCGGCAACACGTCACCTCCGGACGTAGATTCCTGTCGCTTCGCGGGGTGCACGTCCGGGGCCCCTCGGAGGCCTCTTTGGGGCCTCTTGGGTCCTCGCGAGGGCGTCTGTGAGGCCTCTTGGGGGCCTCTGGGAGGTCTCCTGGGGGCCTCTCGGAGCCCCGTGTGGGCGTCTTGGGGGCGCTCTTGCGCTGTCAGGTCACGTTCGTTTTTTAATGCTTCCAACTTTCACAATGAACCTTGGGCCGTCTGGGCGCCTTCGTGGGGCCCCAA